GGTTGCTAGAAAACACCGTATACAAGTCGCAGACAGATTATCACTGACTGAGTAGTCAGTCCCATTGCAGCACCAGGGCTGTGTGCCTGAGTAAGTGCTCACTTGTGAGAAGCACAGTTGCACACTCTGGGTCCAGGTCTCGTTGAGGAACACTCTTTAAGTACATTATTACTACATCAATCTCATTGTCCACCAGAATTTAAAAAAAAAAAAAAAAAAAAAAAGCGCCTTTGTAGTTGGCTTAGTTTGTTCATTCTTTGTATTTAATTTCTCCCTCATCCAGCCTCCACCCTCCCCAAATACATGATAAATTTGGAAAGGTCACGGTATTAATTATTTTCAAGTAAGTGTGTATATTCTTTTCAGCACCACTTCTCCAAATCCTTGGGGAAAATGACAGGGTCAGCTTCTATTTTTAAAAGTGCAATGATTTTAATACAAGAAGACAGACAGTAGAAACCAAACCGCTAATCAGGGACTTTTACTCACATCTAATACATCCCTTCCCTCACACTCTCCCTCCTTACTTTTGCTCAGAGGCACTTTCTGACACCAGAAATAGCACACTGCTGATCACAGGGTTTGGGTGGCCTCTTTTCCCAATTGCAATATGCAAAATAGCATTAGATGTGCTAGCTTGAGTTTCAGAAGTCCAGGGAGCCTCAGGGGCGCTACCTGAGGTACTAAATGGGTGGAAGTAATTAGTCGGAAGCCCATGACCTGCAGCTGAGCAGGTCTATTTTACATCAGCAAAGGTTGTGCTTTATAATCTGATCAGTGGCTTCCAAGCAATTGGTTCTGTAAGATCTTTGAGTGGTATGGGTTTAACTTAGATTTGGCTGTCAGTAGCAATGCAGCAAATTCCCATTTTCTCTGAGTGCTAACTTGAAATTATGTGAAATAGCAAGTGCAGATTCACTCGATCTCACTGTTGTCTCATCCATAACCATACCCTCTCAAGCACTCATTAATCATTTCTTGACTTCTGTATCAATAAAAAATGAACTTCTGATACATAAAATAAGGTTAATCTCAAAAGCAGCCACACCATTATGTTATCCTGCTAATGATTCCTGATTCTCAGTGCAGCATGTCCTCACATACAGTTACACCAGCCAGAAAGCTCTTCTGTGTTGGGATTCCTGTACCATTCTATGGAATAGATGAAAGCAAGATGCCTCCAGCAATCATCTCCTCAACAGCAAGCTCATGGCTACAGGGAAGCTCCATATCTCTTAGGTGAATGCTTAATATCTGCTAGTAACATGTGAAGGAGCAGGTTTCTGTCAGCACTGACACGGTGAAAGGAAGGTAGGTGAAGCTGTCACAAAAAATCTGTTTGGGGTGGCTGCATGGGTGGAAGTTTGAAGAGAGACAACGCAAAATTGACAGGGAGCTGTGATGGGAATAAAAGACAATGAGAGGGATAATAGAAGATGAAACGGAAAATCTGCATAACTACATTAACTGTATACTTGTAAAGGACTGATGAGCTGAAGACCTAAGCATGCTGATCCTGCCCAGCTTGTTCTGGCAACTGGGGGCCAGTGCCAGCCCAGTTGGCATGGTACTTGGCTGTGTGCTGAATTTTCGGGGGGCTGCTCTTCAGGGTCGGCTGCCCCAGGCACACATGGCCATGATGCCAAGAGGCAAAAGAACCATCCATAGTCAGAGAAAGGGAAAATGGAGTCTTGTCTACTGTCTCCTCCAGCTTCCCCCCAAATACTACTTGGTCTCGGGCAGTTTAGTGCTTTACAGCTTTGTCAAGGAAGCTTAATGTCTGCCTGGGGTGATATTATCAGCCCAGTAACAGTCCAGCTCAAAAGGTGCGTCTCTCTCCTCCTGGAGGAGAGCAGAGGAAGAAGGAGTGAAGTGTGCCCCATGATGTCCCAACTGAGGGAGTCCCCGTGGCTAGAAAGAAATTCTCCATTTTCCCCAGCATTTCATCACCTCAGGTCAGTGCAAAAGACAATGGCAAAGACACGAAGTGACTCAGGGCCTGCTTGAGAGTTACTTTAAAGCAATGCTCTGCAGGATGAGCTTTAAGGCTGATTCAGAGGCTGATGGTTCCATGATATTCCACACTGATTTATGATAGCTGGAAGCTAACACCACAGCTGCAGTCAACCAATGCCATTTTGCAATCTTCAGGGTACGTCCCAAAGCAAAAAAGTTACCTTATGCACAGACATCTAAAAATTAACCCATGTGGTCTCAGTGTATTTATAAGATGCAGGAGTAAATAGCCTACTGTGGCATCTCACATCCAAAAAGAGAGGACTGTGAAAAATGCAGGCCAGATAATTTCTGTGTTGGGAGGCAACAGCCTCCTGGGACAATTCTCAGCTAAAGCATGAAGACCAGAAAAGCTGAGCACCAGGAAGAAGACAGCTTTTCCCGAGGTGTTAAATTTACAAAAAAAGAATGAGAACAACTACGGAGTAGCTGAGGTGCCGTGAGCACCTGTGCAGCATCAGGTGAGGGTGTAACTGTTGTTCCCATTCCGAAACGAAGGGGAACACACAAAGGGGTGTGTTTCACCTTTTTGAGTGAAGCTCATTTCTCAGTGTCAGGTAAAACCAATTATTTTTTACTGCTAATACACAGCGGCACAGCAGATAAGAGCTGCAGATTAATGCTAGGCATTAGCTATTCTTTTTGTTTTACTACAGTGAAAAATATTTACCCCAAATCTGACCAAGCTCCTTTTCAGGAGTGATTTTTGTCTTGATTTCTGCAACAATAAGGAAGCTAAATATGAAAAAAACCCAACCCATACAGCGACTTCCAGCTGGCAACTAATGATCCACCCTCCACGACTGATTTGACATTGCCCCCTTGCATTTTTTTGTTAAATGGTGGCAGCTGTGGAACAGTAGGCAGTGGGAAACAAATGAAACATTCTCAGTGTTCAAAGAGAGAAATCTAATACATTGGCCTCACATGTGACTGGAGACTAAAGAATGATATTTAAGAAATTGCTTCCAGCTCACTGCCATGGTGCTCCTGAATTGTTGCACAGCCTTTTCAGTTTCTGCTGCTAAGAAACAGCCTGCTTTGCCTCAAAACTGTCCTAACAGATCTTCCCCTTGTAGACAGATCATCCCACACTGATCTTTCCTTATAAGAGATGATAAACTGGATCAAAAGTAAACCCCATATTGAGAAACAAGTTAAGCATTCAGAAGTATTTCCTTTGTAGCTGAAAGAGGCAGCTACTGCAAGGAAAGAATGATTTTAGACAGCTTGCTACTTCCCTGTGATGTGCAAGCACCCTGGTTTTATTCTTGCTAGTCAACTTTTTCTCAACAGTGAGCCTTTGCTTTTGCCTCAGCACACCCACAGCAGTGTGACCGACTCATAAGCCTTTGATGCAGCAGAATACACAGTTCCCAAGAACTGCTTGAAGCACTTTGAGAATATAAAAACAGCCTTAATTGTCTGTATTTCTGTGGATGCCAGGTTTCCAACACAGGTAATTGTGCATGTGATTCTGTTCTCAAGACTTATGGAGGCACCCAAGGCTCTGTATTGAGTTCATGTGTTTTAGGACCAGTATCTTTCCCCTGGCTTCCACACTCTTGCTATCTGGGATGTGCTCCATATGTAAAGACAATGCCAAAATGTACTTGCAATCACTGTTATAGCCTGCTCCAGTGATCACTGCACAGTCAGATGATCTCATGAAGTCAAAGACTGCAGTCAAAGTGCTCAGAGAATAAAGAAGCGAGACAGATGCTACTGTTGAGAAGTTCCCATAAGAATTGTAAGAGGTAACAGGAAGGAGAAGAAGTTACTATTTTGCTTCACCATTAGTGCTTTCCAGATGGAGCACTCTATCTTTTTCAATGTCAGCTCAAACTAGACTTTGGAAATTAAGTCCTGCTCTTAGGGAAGGCAATAGTACTTTTTCCTTCTGATTTCAGGGATGTTTCATGTCTTGCATGAGTTCTTTCCCTCAGACGCCAGGAGTAGATTCATTCCTTGTTTAAGAACTTTAGGTTAGATGACCCAGACCATGAATGACCTCAAGCTGCAGCAAAATTGGAATATATTTGGCTGTTACATTCAACTTTTCCCTTTTCTAGGCTCCATAATAATATAATGCTTCTGTTGATACATACTAGGGGTAAGCTCCAGCGTACACTGAGCAAGAAAGTTTAAAGGGGGTTTATTTGCTTTATAATAATGTAATGGACATAACGAAGACAGGAAATTGAGGATAAGCTCTAACACGTAATGTCATAAAAAAGATAAGTAATTTTCATAAACTATGCATATTTTCCAATTTTCTTACTACAAAACACTTTTAAAACTTCCGGATCTGCATTTTCAAACTTTAGAGTCAGTTGTCAACACAGAAACATTAGGAAGTTCATTTTTGTGTACTGAAAATGCCATTCACAGGAATGAGGGACCTGAACTAGATTTAGGCATTTTAGAAGTGTTAGAATTGGCCTTGGTCCTCATGAGACAAAATTCATTATCTATTTTTGCCTGTAGCTGAAGTGAGAATTTAACAGGAAGGATGCAGAAGTCCACAAAAACTGTAATTGCAATGATCGTTTGTTTTCAAGGGGATCTGTCATGAAAATGGTATTTGCAAATGGTCTCCTCCCTTACATTGTTTTCAAGGTCATGAAATCCCTTCCTCTTCTTGTTCCTCTTTTCTCACTCCCCCCACCTCCCAATGTTTGAGAAGTAATCTTGTAAATAGATGCCAATACCTTTGGCAACTAATTCAGCAGCATCTAAATTAACACTCACTGTGCCCTCAAAGAACACAAACAATTTCAGTAAGCAAATGTTTACCTGTTCTTCCTATCTAGCAATATATTGTTGATTGCAAACACTTCCACCCCAAAACTCCAGTAATATCATTTGGCAAGTCTTGAACGTCCTTCTCATAAAGGCACATCTATAGCACTCATAGTCACAGAGGTCAAGAATGCCTGACAGACCCTGAAGAAAATAAAATTTAAAAACAATAGACATCTTACCTGCTTATTCATAAGTATGTAGATAATGGGATTGCAAACAGTGCTGCTTTTTGCTAGGATTGAAGGTATGATGCTTGCAACTGGAGTCACCACACCTGGTTTGCCAAATGTTGCAAGTAATGCTATAACTCCATAGGGAATCCAACACATGAGATAACAGATAACTGTAGTGATCACCATGAACAGTACGTGGTACTCTCTTTTGCGGGCAGTGTTCTTGTGGATTTTTCCAGCCTAGGGGAAGATGAAAAAAAGATAAAATTTAAGAAGCTGAGCTGTTGCACTGATTTCTTTAACAACCTGGGACTATCGGTCTTGGACCAGCAATGATAAGCAACATTGTAGTTCCAGAAGCAAAACAAACGCAAACCCGAAAGTGAGTGAAAGCAGTGGGAAGACTGTCTCCACCAGACACTAGGGGAAGGCCTGCACACTTCATGCTGCATGCCAGCAAAAAACAGAGTCCCAGTGAAGGTCGGAAGCAAAACCGGAACGGTGACAAAGTTAGCATCTAGTCCTTAATAGCTGGTAGGTCATCTCCAGTTGCTTTTCAGGTATGGTATTTTGTATCATTGTACTACGTTTTCACTCAAGTTATTCCAGTACACAGGATTTACTTGAGATGGAGAAGCACTACAAAGCACAAGTGAACCCACAGAGGTGTTTTCTGTTAGGGGTCTGGAAACAGCAGAGCAATTCTAGGCGTGCTTTGTACCTCTCTCCTTGGATGTTTTCAAGGCTTGGCCAGATAAAGCCTCAGCTGGCCTGGTGTAGTGTTGGCAACAGTCACAGCTGGAATGGGACACTAGAGAAGCCTTGCAAACAACACTTTGCGAAGTTTTAAGTGGTGGGACTCTCCCTTTCTAGACTATTTCTTCCAGGTATTTTACAATTTTGATAAAAGGGCCTCACGCCTGATTATCATCGAAACCAGTTTTCTGTGCTCTTAAGAAAAGCATGCCAAATACTGACATAGTTCATCTATTGTACTGGGGTTTTTGGGGAAGTGGAGTAGAGCTGGGTAAACAGGAAGCAGAGATTTAAATGATCAAAGTGATGGTACAACAGCCCATCTTGCTATCATGAATCTACCAATAGTTACAGCCTGTGGGCAAACCCAGCTCTGCTGTGCAAGTATTTATAGTCTGCAAAATGTACTCTCCTTTGACCTGCTCTGGACTGAAGCATCATGCCCTTTTGGAGTCTAGAGCTCTAGGATGAAGGTTAAACATTAAAATATCAGCCAACTTTTACTTTTGAGCTTTGGTGCGAATGCATTTTTCTTCAGCTACAGAACGCTTCTCCAGTGTGTTCATAACACTGAGCACATTGGTAACAACTGTGAGGAAGAAGCTTCGTTCCCTACACAGAACACACGCAGTGCCCTGCACAAGCATTATTTATAAGCAAGCTTTCCATGCAGTAGCACTGTGAGATGGGTATTAAGTTTGAAAACTTAGAGAAGCCAGTACAAGATTGGGTGGGGTATAGATCAGAATTGGGTGCTTAGCATAATTTTAAAGGGATTATGGGAAAGTTCTTAGGAAACATTCAGAAAGATTAACTCCATAATAGCAAAACGAGTCTCCAAAAGCATCTTTGCAGCCAACAAAGAAAAACCAATTCTGCAAGGAGGCTAATTTTGGAGCCAGTGTCTCTCCGCTGACTCTAGACGGAGCCTCAGCACACTGGCCTCCCGAGGTTATGGTGAATTCCTCAACTCCTCCCCAGCCTGTGTTTAGCAAACCCACATGTGCCAGCAGGTTCAAAAAGTATTCAAATGTTTAAACTATTTCAATTGAGTCTTGTACTCAGCCTAATGTAATTTATGTCCACCTTAAGGTCTTTTTAACTCCTGAATGCGGTACTTGAGAGTAAACTGCACCCAAGGGAACTAAGCCCCTGTAAAGCTACAAACATAAATAAGCAAAAAGGCAGCTCCCTGGAATGCAATGCATCCCAACATTGGGTTTAAGCTGATGCAGGAGAATGATGATGTGCACAGCTCTGTAAAGGAATAGAACACAATTAAAAGTGGCAGCCACTAATCACCTGAGACAACTGTCATCTCCTGTTGCCTGACACAACCTGCACATGCTAATGCAGTGGAAATAGTCAGAGCTTTACCTACCTCTTTGTGGTGTGGGTGCTTTTGCATAACATACGTGTTTATGTGTTGGACTGTGAGTTAAAAACACATACAGTAACCGTGTAAGTATATATGGAAGGCAAAATAATATGGTTACGCTGTTTGGTTTTAGTTAATTATGATTCTAGCCTTCTAGAGTTGTTGGCTCTATCTGGAGTTTCAGTAGAAATGTTCCTGTTGAAAGTAAATAAAGCACACACAAACTTAGCCTGCCAAAAAATAACAAGCATTTTTCCTGTCTAGTCTTTTAATGATTTTCTGCAAAAAGGCAATTACAAAATAAAATCCATCCTTTCTGAAAACACTGGGGACTATTCTTTTTATTTTTGCAAGAACAGAAATTGTTTATCTCAAAATTACTTTACCTCGAAAAAAGCATTAATAATGGTCCAATCCTGTATTGCTTATTTGACCTAAATTTTCCATGACTAATTGGAATTTTTTCTGACAGAAGAATCCAGGATCCCATGTTAGCTGCAGCTATGTTACAAGTTAAATATTAACCAGGAAATGCAAAGCCCCAGCTGACCATGGTATCCACAGCTGAAGACCTTCAAGACAAAGGCATCAGTCAGCACATTTTTTCTCAGTTTTTAGATAATATCTTAGTCTTGAGGAGTTTGCAAGACTTTACCCTCTGCACAGATAAAATATAGATCATAAATAATGGAAAGGGATATGTGTAAAAGTGAGGTGACTATGAGTGTGACTCTGGTACGTATACTTCTATTTTCACATCTTTAGCTTGCTTCCTTAGGAATGGAAGCCTGCATCATCACTGTGTGTGTCAATATGTCAGTAAATCTGCCTGCCTGCTGGTCTCAATACCTTCCTTGTAAATTTGACTGAGGTTCTGAAACTTATTAGGTGGACAGAGGTCTTCGACACTGAGTTCTTCGCATGTTACTAGAGCAGAAGGATCCTTATTAATGTTCCTATTAAGAAAAAAAAATGCAATGTGAAATGAACTCAGATTAGACACCAGAGAATCCACTCTACTTTAGGTTCTGGTTTGAGTTTGTTTGTATTTCTTTCCTCTCATCTTTCTTTTCTGATAAGTAAAAAGTAGAAAGGTCTGATCACAGCTGTCCTGAAATTGAACATTCTTAATGTAACCCCAGTATCTATTAAGGATGACCTTTTACTGCAGTCTTCTATAACTGAATTTAAAAAGTCATTTGTCATTAGACAAACCTATTGGAAAGCAAATTTAGCTGTCATGCTCAGTTTTTCACTTCCATGTTTACCCCAGCATAGCCAACCGTTTTGATTTTTGTGTGCCTCATAATATAATTCTATATGATTTACTTACATTCCAGATCCTGGGAACAAGCAAATTAGAACTTCAGGGTTTTTTGAAAGTGTTTTGGGTTTTTTGTTTTTTTTTGTTTGTTTGTTTGGTTTTTTTTGTTTGGTTGGTTGGTTTTTTTTGTTTGTTTGTTTTTTTGTTTTTTGTTTTTTGTTTTTTTTTCCAGAAGTACATTTCTATTCCCACTGTTGTTGAGAGGAGATTAAAAGTATGGAATTACAGTAAGAAATGCAAGCAGTGGACCAGAAGTGAGGAAGGATCATAAAGCATGTCCATCCTTCATGGTTCTAAATCCCAGGTGACCTGGGTGTCTCATCTTTCCAGAAGGGACAAAGACAGTAAGATGAGTCCAAAGGACTAATGACCTCCAGGCATCCCTTGCAACGAACCTCAGATGTACTTGATGCTTCTCTTGATTTTTATTTGATGTCCAGAGTTGCTGTACCTGTTAACTATGTTTTATGCTTAAATAACTCATCTGCTTCCACGGTGTCAGTAATCTCACTTATTTCTTGGCGTTCTGGCCGCCAGTAAATCGCAGGACACATGAGCTGCAGGAGTTGTGCTTGCACAATTGATGGGGTGGGAGAAGAGTCAGACTGCTTGATGCCTCTGAGCGTGCTGCCAGGCTGTTGGGCAACTGTCCTTCCCCTCGCCTTGTGCCACCTCTTGGGAAACAGCTGAACTGTGTGATCGGGTTTGCTATGCTCCTTCTGGCTCTCCAAGCCACTTCAGCCCAAACATAGCTGTTTTGATAGCGGTGAAGGCAAGCAGCAGAATCTTGGGGTGGTTGTGGTATCACCCTCATACATTCTGCGATACGTTAACAATGCCAGAGGACTTCAAAAATTGTTAGACTACTCTGTAGCAAGTGCCCCCAGAGTTATGTTTCTGAAACCATGTACTATATCTATCTACACATTCTTGGTTTCATTGCCTTTGCAGCTTTGCAGCCTACCTTTAGAGATGTTATCTTTCTGCATTTAAAATACACAGAAGATCCGAACTACATCTTTAAAATAGCACTAGAAATACTGGCCCATTGGGATCAAAAGGTATTTATTTAGGATGGCTGGAAAACACATGTCTTTGCTGTAAACTCAGCTGTTTTTTTCTGGGACAAAGATTACCTCCTGCCAAATTTAGTGGTCTAAATGTAGGGAAGCACTACATTTAAAGAAGAGAAGAAGGTTGGGAGGGTGGGTGTTGAGGGTTTTTTAATGAGAAAATGCTGTGTCTCACCTACTTTCATCCTGGGAAGTACCAGAACTGTTTTGTTTTTTTCAGAACACAGCCAGAGACAGCAACAGGCAAGCTTGTCTAATTTCAGGCACTGAGTTTAAGACTGGCACAATTAGCTCTCATCTGGATTTTCCCTGTAGCCAAGCTGCACCTTGCATACATACCCAAAACTCCAATGTGACATGTGAGACACCACCAGTTGGATGACTTGCGTGTCCTGAGCACGTACATTAGACGTGACAGGCCACAGAGCATAGGAGAAGCCATAGTGGCATTCAGTGAGGAGGATGGCAGAGGTAGAAGTGTCCTCAAAGGAGGCCTGAGTGACACATTGCTTGGTTGACCTCAAAAGCTGTGTCCCCTCCCCTCCCAGCTGACAAGATGCAGCAGATACATCGCTCACTGGGTGATGGGCTGCAGTACTCTTTTATGCATTGGAAAAGAAACTGGGGAGCTCTGGGTAGAGCACAGAAAATTTCAACAGCACTGGTCAAAGTCTGGAGGGGTCATAAACCAATGGAAAGGGGAGCTTGC